AGAGGCAAGTTCTCAATCATTATAAAGACAAAACCTCAAAGCAGGACCAATTTCTCTATTAGATCAAGGCATTGAGTCCAGCAAGACCACCGATCCCCAAAATCTCAGTAGGCCTGGCACATTTAGGCATTAAATGGGATTCCATTTTGTTTCTGTTCTAATGAAACTTCATGGATTTCCATTGGAAACATGAATCTTCACTTTCTTCTGAAAAACCTCACAAATATCTGGCTTTCACTTAGCGCCAGCAATGAAAGAAAAAAAAAACCTCTTATAGCTAGAAGAAGTCTGCTGTTTTTGCAAACTGAATTTGATTTCATGGTACTGTCTAGACACAGCAAAGAAATCAATTCTCCCATAGAAATCTTCCAGTCAATGCAAATATAGGATATTCTTTAAAAGAATAGAAAATATATAAGCAAGGACTATGTCTAGTATTTGGGAAGCACCCAGTTAACTGGAAGTTTATTTTTTAATATATTTTATCTAGAGTCATGCTGTCCAATACTATAGCCACTAGCCACATGAGGCTATTAAATCAAAAATAATTAAAATGTAATAAAATTTAAAATTTAGTTCATCAGGCATGCTAGCCATATTTGAAGTGCGCATGTATCCACTGACTGCTGTATTGGACAGCACAGATAGAGAACTTTCCATCATCCCAAAAAGTTCTACTGGACAGCGCTGGTCTAGAGATCATTTATTAACATTAGAGTTTCTATTCCCCATCTCAAGCCACTTGCCCTTGTTCTTCAATTGCCAAACAGAGCTTTCCCATCTCTCTCTGCCAGGAAATGGGAAAGTGGCTGTTTACTCTTGGGTAAAGGTGATAAAGAGCATAAACTCTTAGATACCCCAGAAGGAATTAGTCTTCATTAGCATGTGTCTTCCTTGTTAAATCATTCATTAGGGAAAGGTAACATGCATTCGGATGCCTGGAATCAGTAGTTGTCCTTAATAGTACCCACCTTAGTGCAGTTACAAATCATTTAAGTTAATCCATTTCTCTTGAGCCTTCTAAATGGAAAATTGAATTTTTTTTTTTCAGTATTGGTCTGAGCTCTGAGTTTAGATCTAGAAGCCTTGTGTGGTCCTTGTCCCACAACTGTCCACCCCAAGCTACAAAGATGATACAGCATAGCTCTGCTCTGACCTATGAAAACAAGGACCATGTGTTATTCATCCAGGTATCGCCAGTGCCCAGCCAGGACATGACATGTGGAAAGCACCCAGTGAATGTTCATTGAAGAAATTAATTAATCAATTGCATAATCAATCAAGGCGGCTTCAGTTTTCCTAGGAACCTGCTAATTATTCGTACTGAGAGTGTATTCCCCAGCGTAGTGATTTGCAAATCCGGCTGCACATTAGCATCACCTGGGGAGCTTTTAAAACCCGCTGATGCCAGGGCCCCACCCTAGACCAGTACAATCCAAATCTCTGATGATGTGGCTCTGGCATCAGTAGCTCTGGCATCAGCAGCTGCCCCAAAGGATTACATTGTGCAGACAGGAGTGAGAAGTTTCTGATTTGGAAGCCATAAAAAAGATTTTCTTCCTTTGTGAGATTTTTTTTATCCCAAGTCCCTTATTCACTGTCATTTTTCCTGTAAGAGTAACATGAATCTGGTCTTCCTCGTTGCCTTACTCAGTAATGGAATCATAGTGTCCCCACTGTTTCAAAAAGAGATTATAGGAAGATAACTCCCTGTGGGAACTTTATTTCAATGTTTTAATAAAGATTCGAGCCCGAACCATATTGAAACAACATGAGAAAATGCCTTCTTTTATATTTCCTCACTGGAAGCTTAAGTTGCAAGTAAATTTGATGTCACGTTGAGTTTTTAAAAGAATACAAAACTGTGTACATGCTATGATAGTATGAAAGAAAAATCTGTAAGAAACAAAACAAAAAAGACTTTAACATACATGAATTAAAACTCAAGTGGTAATTGTGGGTAAAACAAGATTTAGCAATTTGGAGAGACTAGGGAGTAGATTAGTTTCTGTCCATAAGAATCACCTGGGAAAAAGTGTATTTATTAGCTGGAAGGATCTCCCCACTGGCTGGAGGAAGCGCACTGGGTGTCTCCAAAGGTTACCCCAAACAGGTAACTGTAAGAAAGCAGCTCTGAGAAATGACTAAGCCAGAGTTAGAACAGTAAGGTAGCCACAAGGTAAAAAAAGATATGGATGGGATGAAGATGATCAGGCAAGACTGTAGCCAAGAGCAGGGCAAAAGAGAGAAGATGGAGTCAAGAATGGATTGAAGGGTTCAGGAGTAAGGACGGGAGGTCTAGGAAGTGCTGGGCTCTTGGTTGGAGGTGGTTTCTAAAGAGAGGCCATCAGAAAGATTTTCTTCGTTTCTTTTCCCTCTATTTCCAAATATTATATAATAATAGTCTCCTAACATTAAACAATATGTGCTTTGGGGCCAGGCTTGGTGGCTGAGGAAGGCTGAGGTCAGGAGTTCGAGACCAGCCTGGCCAAACTGGCAAAACCTCATCTCTACTAAAAATGCAAAAATCAGCCAGGCGTGGTGGTACCCGCACCTATAATTCCAGCTACTCGGGAGGCCGAGGCAGGAGAATCACTGAAGCCTGGGAGGCAAAGGTTGCAGTGAGCCAACATTGCACCACTGTACTCCAGCCTGCGACAGAGTAAGACCTGTCTAAAAAAATAATAAAAATAAAAATAAATTGTTCATGTGCATTACTGAAATGAGCCAATAATAGGAGAAGATAATAATAGCTACTAGTCCTTGGGCATCTACTGTGTGCTAAACACCAAACAAGACTTTGCACACATATCTCAATTAAACTGCTCAATAAACTTGCCATGATGTTGTCATTACCCACTCCACTTTAAAGACGAGAAAACTGAGGCTAATCAACTTGTCAAGGGTTACATGGCCAGTGCATCCATGGCCTGACGTGGCCAGGACCCAGTACATATCTGTGTGATTCCAAAAAATGCATTTGTTCATCTGCTCAGACCAAGCTTCAACTGAATTCAAAGAAATCGCCTCATCACACCTCAGCTCCACACCTCACCAAAGGCTACCTCTCCTTTCCCAGGAAGGTGACAACATGCTCATGCTGACACTGGTTATCCTCCCACATTTTCATTATATGGGACATGGTGGGGGTTTTTATGAGCCTCTACCACAGGCTGTTTTTCAAATTTATTTAATTCATCCATCATGCTCTGAAGCCATTTGCTTTTTTATATTGGACAGATGTAATGAGATTTTGGACACTAAAAAATGTTTTTATTAAAAGTTATGACCCAGAGCTAGTTGGTAGGGGCTCTGCCATAAATTGCTAGGAGTGTGTGCATTTATAAAGGATGTAGCGACATAACCTTAACCTTTTAGGCCACACGATAGATTACAGGATCACTTAGACTAATATTGTCTCACCACCTCTCCCCACCTGTGGCCAAATAATAATAATAATAATAATGTCTGTGGTTATTTGATGTGGTGGCTTTTCCTCTCATTGTAGCCATAGTTAAGTCATGTTGAACCATGGGCTGGTGGAAACAGGTGGTTGGTGGTTGACCTGAAGGCCCTGCCTTAGTGGGCCTGGGCACGTTGATTCTTCCACTCTGCTCTGCTCTGCAGACTGTAACTGGGGCTGAAGGAAGCAACAGTCACATGTCCTATAGACAGGGTGAAAGCAAATTCTGACAAAGCACAGTATTATGAGGCTATGGGTGATAGTTTTCTCACTCTTCCATTGCCAAAAGCTCTCCTCAAAACTATTCATGCGTAATAACTCCATTTTAATGTCCATATTAGCAGATTTATATTAATGTTTTACTATTTGGAAATCATCCAAAGAATAATTAACTTATTCGTATAGACCAGAATATGGCCATTAAGATATACATGTATATGATATATTATACATACCTATAATGTGTAATATAAACAATATAATACAAAGTTAACAAAGCAATTAAATGTTGCTCACTGCCAGCTACTTCTAGAACATGCATTCATTTCTGTATTTTTGAGGACTGCTATGTGCCAGACCCTCTACCAGCTGCAGGGGGAGACCCTCTCCCAGCTGCTTGAGGAAGCTTACAGTATGATAGGCACAGATAATGTACTGAGGACACTCAGGAGGATTTCAGTTCAAAGGATAGAGAAACTCTTCATGGAGGAGGTGGCTTTTGAGCTGGGTTTGGAGAATTTGGGGAGCACTGAGCTTTCAGAGATGAGAAGAGCATTTCTTTTTTTTCTTTTTTTTTTCTTTTTTTTTTTGAGATGGAGTCCGCTCTGTCTCCCAGGCTGGAGTGCAGTGGCACGATCTTGGCTTACTGCAGTCTCCACCTCCTGGATTCAAGTGATTCTCCTGCCTCATCTTCCCAAGTAGCTGGGATTACAGGCGCCCGCCACCACACCCAGCTAACTTTTTGTAGTTTTAGTAGAGACGGGGTTTCACTATGTTGGCCAGGCTGGTCTCGATCTCCTGCCCTCATGATCCACCTGCCTTGGCCTCCCAAAGTGCTGGGATTATAGGCGTGAGCCACCGCGCCCGGCCGAAGGGAAGTGCATTTCATGCAGAGAAGACAACATGTATAAAAACACATGAAAACCAGCTGTTCACAGACTGCTCCAAAGAGTCAAGTTTGTCTAAAGCACAAGGTGACATTTTGTTCTTTTAAAAGAAAAATCTCGAATGTAAACAGCATGCTCTTATCCATAGCCACTGCTGATGTCTGTAACTGCAGGGCAATGTCTGTAATTGCAGGAAGATGGAATTTAAACTTACAAATTTGCCATTGCTGTGTTTCCTAATCAGACCCATGTTTTATCATCTGCTTATGCTAGAAACATATTCCAGGATTTTCACAGACATTGGAAACAGCTCCCCACCTGCTGAGACCATGGAAGTGTGAATCATAGATACTGTCATCATTAAACTCATAAATCCATGTCATTTGTGTGTCATTCACTTCATCCTCATTCATCATCCCTTCCACTTTCAGAACGGCTATTCATTTGAGGATTTTGAAGAACGGTTTGCTGCAGCCACCCCGGTAAGAATTAGAGCCCTCTCAAGTTAACTGTTTCATGTCATGATCTCCACATTCATTTCATGCTCATCAGTCGTGCCTTGTGGTTACAGAACAGAAACCTGCCCATGGACTTTGGTGAGATTTTTGAGGCAACAAAGGTAAGGCCTTGAGGTTTTTGTTAAATGAGGTTGTTCTGCTCATACTCATGCATTCCATATTCTCTTCATCCAGCTGGCATGAATGGCAGACTTGCTGCCCTGCTCTGCTCTAGTAGGTACCTATTCAGATGTCCCCAGGATGACTATTGGTGGGCCCTGCCATGAGGTCAAATAGTGAGAGTGTATGTACAGGTGTGTGTGTGTATGTGTGTAAACTAGAGTGTGTGTTGGAGAGGAGATAGCACCCCTTCTTTTCATCCAGCAATACTTTTCAAACCTCTAACATGTCCCAGGCATCCTAATAGATGCTAGAGATGCAGAAAAGTGGCTTTCCTAAAGAAGCTCACAGTGTAACATAGTGCAACATTGCATGGGATAAGCTATGACAGTAGAGCCTCGCCTAGCGTAGTGTAGTAGATGTAGTATAACATGATATAGTAGGAATTCAGATACATGAACAGGATGTGCCAAGTACACCACTGGTACTAAAAAACAGGTGAGGTTGCTATTCAGTCAGTATAACCTGGTATAAATATATTGGTTGTAGTCAACATCTGTTCAAATTGATTGATACACAGGCCAATGAATATTGCCACTCCTGAATACAGTATTGGGAAACCTCCAGGACAAAAATCTTCAACCTTGGCAGCAAATTAGAATCATTAGGAGAGCTTTCCAAGCTCCAGTGACTAGGTTTTACCTCAAACCAATTCTGAATCTTTTGGTGTGGGAACCAGGCATCAGTAATTTTTTCCCCAGGTGATCTTAGTATGCATCCAAGGTTGAGAACCACTGATCTGGGAGTATCATGGGCAATGGGATAGGGTAGAAATTGAGTTAGGACGCCACTTCATAGGAAACAAAACAGAAAGCCTTCTAATTCACGTCCTGAAGAATGTGTGGGAGAAGGAATGAGTGTTCTAGGTAGGAGGAAGAGCACATGTAAGACCCTGAGATGGCCTCTTCTTTCATAACTCTCTGTGCTTCTCTCCTCCTTGATTGTGTCTCTGGGTCTGTCTTTCCATAATACAGCCAGCTTATGACAATAGGAACAGGAATGTGCCTTACCTATCTCTGTAGCCCTTGCTCTTGGTAGCTGATGCATGGTAGGAACTCCCATGTCTGCCCACTGAAGGGTCACAGAACTCCTGATGCCAAAACACAGGGAACGGGTCTGTGAGAAGGTGTTTTCGGGGTCAGCCATAACATCTCAGCCTCCATCAATTGTGCCTTTAGGATTTCTCTCTCGGAAAGGCCTAGGGATCTTGTTGCAGTGATCTAGTTGGAAGGAGCAGCGTACTAATCTTAAACTAGATATTACTGAAAAACCATCACTTGTTCATATCAAAGAATGACTGGGGAGAGAACAGGCCTGATGGAGATACTGGGGAACTACCTCCCCAAACATCGAAGCTACTTTTCCTTCACTGTCCTGTACACCTTACAATATCACTCTTCTTACCCCTGGAAAATGCCCAGGGGGCTAAAAAAGGGGAAAAACTGCCATCTCCGGCTACATCTCTCTTTACCAGGAGACATTTGAAATGCTAGTAATGGAAGAGCCTTACTCTCTGGCGAGTAGACATCTCAAGCTGACATTCCAAATGACCTCAAATGGATGTGCATCCTGGCAGACCTTATAGCAACCCAGATTTCTGGTTAGAGAATGTTGTAGAGCTGGACTTCCACTATTTAGCAAGGCTAACTAAGGTTTGGTAAAGTGATGGATCGATGAACAAGATGCTGGTGGGTGTGTGGGTCAAGTCCATCCCAGCTGCTTTTAGCTGACTGGTCAGAGGTGAGTCACTTAACCTCAGCCTCAGCTAGCTCATCTGTGAAACATAGTGACAATGGCACCTATGCTGGTGACTTTTCGGGGCTCAGTGAGTGTCAAACATGATGATAATGTATTTGAAAGCATATTGCAAACTATAAAGTGTTTTATAAATGTGAATTGTTAGTTTTATTCTCTTGAGGCTTTTAAAATGATTCATTAGAGCAGTATTATCAGATGGAACATGGTTTATTAGCTTACAAATAAAAGGACTGGGATTAACATGGGGAGGAGACCTGTGAAAATAGATACTATTTCAGATTCTCGATCACATATGGTTATTAGGATTATTTTTAATTTTATGGCCCAAGAATCCCCTTTTTCTATAAAATTTAATTAACTCAAGGTTCTATTTAAACAGCAAACCAATGGAATGAAATAACAATCTATGTTTTATGCCTCTGCATGTTTTTCTCGTTTAATCCTTGAGTGAAAATCATCTGGCAAAAGGAAAGTCTATATCTCAAGAATGAAGGTTATTTTAAAAGTTGTGCTTAAGGAGAAAATTAGCCAATAAATTCTATTTATGATGTTAGTAAAAGTATGCCGTGAGTTCAACACATTTGAAATGTAAATTGTGTGACTTAATTAATAACTTCATTTAAATATTTTCCGAACACTGAAAATAGTTGTGGGCCATTTTAAAAGCATAGAATTGCAGTCTCAAAGAAGCCCAGAAGCTTCATTTGAATTGATTAAATAAAGTTATTCCTTTTATGAAATTGGAAGAGGGTCTAAAAGACTAGCAGAGTTTACCAAATAATATAAAATATTGCTAACATGCTAGAGAAGGATTACCAAAGAAGAGCATTTCAAGTCCAGCAAGATTTGAGAAAGGACCTGTGTACTGTCCACCTCATTCCCATCAGCTGCTGGGCTGTTACTGTATGAAAGAGAAACAAGATAGGCAAGAATTGATGGAAAAGGCTGTGAAATGTATGAAATTCCCACCACAACCTTGCCCCTGACCACCACACTGGCCTCCTGTCTCCCACCTTCATGTTGGTAACACTGAACTGCTTCCATTACCACCTACCTACTCTGTTCCTGGCCTCTGGCCATTTTTAAGCAGTTTCCTCTGTCTGGATGGTCTCCTCTTTTTGGTCACATGGCTCCTCTCCTTCAGGATTCAGATCTAGGCTATTTCCTTTAGAAAACTGTCTCAAACTTTGCCAAAAGCTGGTTGGGTCTCTATATTACTCTGTTTCCATGCTGCTGATAAAGGCGTGCCCAAGACCGGGAAGAAAAAGAGGTTTAATTGGACTCCCAGTTCCACATGTCTGGGGAGAGGCGGAAGGCAAAGGGCACTTCTTACATGGTGGCAGCAAGAGAAAATGAGGAAGATGCAAAACAGAAACCACTGATAAACCCATCAGATCTTATGAGACTTATTCACTATCATGAGAATAGCATGGGAAAGACCAGCCCCCATGATTCAATTAACTCCCCCGGGTCCCTCCCACAGCCTGTGGGAATTCTGGAAGATACAATTCAAGTTGAGATTTGGGTAAGGACACAGTCAAACCATATCATTCCACCCCTGGCCCCTCCAAATCTCATGTCCTCACATTTCAAAACCAATCATGCCTTCCCAACAGTCCCCCAAAGTCTTAACTCATTTCAGCATTAACCCAAAAGTCCACAGTCCAAAGTCTCATCTGAGACAAGACAAGTCCCTTCTGCCTATGAACCTGTAAAATCAAAAGCAAGCTAGTTACTTCCTAGATACAATGGAGGTACAGGTATTGAGTAATTACAGCCATTCCAAATGGGAGACATTGGTCAAAACAAAGGGTTTACAGGGCCCATGCAAGTCTGAAATCCAGCAAGGCAGTCAAATTTTAAAGCTCCAAAATGATCTTGTTTGACTCCAGGTCTCACATCCAGGTCACACTGATGCAAGAGGTGGGTTCCTATGGTCTTCAGCAGCCCCGCCCCTGTGACTTTGCAAGGTACAGCCTCCCTCCCAGCTGCTTTTTCATGGGCAGGTGTTGAGTGTCTGAGGCTTTTCTGGGCTCATGGTATAAGCTATCAGTGGATTTACCATTCTTGGGTCTGGAGGACAGTGGCCCTCTTCTCACAGCTCCACTAAGCAGAGTCCCAGTAGGACTCCGTGTGGAGGCTCTGACGGCACATTTCCCTGCCACACTGCCCTAGCAGGGGTTTTCCTGAGGGCCCTGCCCTTGCAGCAATCTTCTGTCTGGGCATCCAGGCATTTCCATACATCATCTGAGATCTAGGTGGAAGTTTCCAAACTTCAATTCTTGACTTCTGTGCACCTGTAGACTCAACACCATGTGGAAGCTGCCAAGACTTGGGGCTTCTACCATCAGATGCCACAGCCTGAGCTGTACATTGGTCCCTTTCAGCCATAGCTAGAGTGGCTGGGACACAGGGCACCAAGTCCCTAGACTGTACATAGCACAGGGACCCTGGGCCCAGCCCACAAAACCACTTTTTCCTCCTGGGCCTGCAGGCCTGTGTTGGGAGGGGCTGCCATGAAGGTCTCTGACATGGCCTGGAGACATTTTCCCCATGATTGTTGGAATTAACATTAGGTTCCTTGCTACTTATGCAAATTTCTGCAGCTGGCTTGAATTTCTCCCCAGAAAATGGGTTTTTCTTCTATCACATAGGCTGCAAATTTTTCAAACTTTTATGCTCTGCTTCCCTTAGAAAGCTGAATGCCTTTAACAGCACTCAAGTTACCTATTGAATGCTTTGCTGCTTGGAAATTTCTTCCACCAGATACCCTAAATTATCTCTCTCAAGTTCAAAGTTCCACAAGTCTCTAGGACAGGGGCAACATGCCACCAGTCTCTTTGCTAAAACATAACAAGAGTCACCTTGCTCCGGTTCCCAACAAGTTCCTCATCTCTATCTGAGACCACCTCGGCCTGAATTTTCTTGTCCATATCGCTATCAGCATTTTGGGCAAAGGCATTCGACAAGTCTCTAGGAAGTTCCAAACTTTCTCACATTTTCTGTCTTCTTCTGAGCCCTTCATATTGTTCCAGCCTCTGCCTGTTACCCAGTTCCAAAGTCACTTCCACATTTCTGGGTATCTTTTCAGCAACACCTCACTCTACTGGTAACAATTTTACTGTATTAGTCCATTTTCATGCTGCTGATAAAGACATACCTGAGACTGGGAAGAAAAACAGGTTTAATTGGACTCACAGCTCCACATGGCTGAGGAGGCCTCAGAATCATGGCGGAAGGCAAAAGGCACATCTTACATGGCAGCAGCAAGGGAAAATGAGGAAGAAGCAAAATTGGAAACCCCTGATAAACCCATCAGATCTCGTGAGACTTATTCACTATCGTGAGAACAGAATGGGAAAGACCAGCCCCCATGATTCAATTACCTCCCCTTGGGTCCCTCCCACAACACGTGGGAATTCTGGGAGATACAATTCAAGCTGAGATTTGGGTGGGGCCACAGCCAAACCAGATCAGTTTCCTTCTAGGTAATCCCACAGCACACCATAGAGACCCCTGTTGCTATTTCTGCTGCATTACCTGAGATTATCTGCATCTACAGATTGGATGTCCTCCCCTCCAGTCTGTAAACTCCCTGCAGGCTGAGAGTTGGCGTTTCTCATTTTTATGTTCCCAGCACATAGCACAGTGTTCAACATCTAGCAGTTGTTGAAGATTTATCAAAAATTATTGTGCAGTTGGAAACAAAATCAGTCCTTATAGGGCCCTATTGTGTGCCAGGCGCTGTTATTCAATCTGAAAGCTGAAAGGGAAGGAAGAGCTGCAAGTAAGTTAACAAGGCCAAGTTTCTCTCCTTTCAGCAAAAAGAGACTTTTGTGCTCTTTCAACCAGGCTTAACCAAACATCAAAGAAAGTCCTCCTATTAATGTTGTCAATACATCTGCAAAGGCGATATTATCATCTCCATTGCCCAGATGAAGGAACTGTAGCTCTGAGGAGCTGCAGATATTGAAAGTGGTAGAATCCAAATATGCCTCCTGTTGGAGGTAGCTACTATCTGGGGCCAGTGGTCCAGGCAGTAAAGGAATTTATGAAGACATTTGTAGGTAAAGAAAGGTAGATTTATTAGAGAAAGTATGAAAATACATTGCAAGATTGCAATGGGCAGCACAGCAGAGAAGGGGCTGTCTGCAAAGAGGCAGGGGCTGGAGGGAAGTTTTATAGGGTTACGCTGGAGGGACTACCTGAAAATGAGGTTGTGCCCTTGGGTTGTTTGTGATTAACCATCCCTCAGAACAATTATTCCTTGTTCTTCCCCATCTGGGGCCCTGCCTGACCTGGGGCCCCTTTCTCATGTGGTTTATCTTATCAGTACTCCACACCCCCAGGCATGGAGTGTAGGACATTTTCCAGAGCCCAAAGCTCACTCACTTGCCAGTAGGAAAGAACATTCCCTTCCTTGGATGAACCCTAGAGATCCAGCCATGACCTGGTTAGAGCAGTTTGAGTACAGGAGTCCTGTGTGGCAGGGCAGTTGGACTCCTCACATCCCTTCTACTAAGTGGTATGTTTAGGTTCCCCCAATTTGAAGCTATCACTTAAGATCTGAAGATGAGGGAAAAGTGGTTTTTCCTTAGTGGACAGGTTTGTACAAAGCATGTGATTACATACTTGTCATAATTAAGTCAGGCCATAGACTCCCTACAGTCTGTGAATTTGGCAGTGTGCAGATTAGTTCTAAGTGTATCTTAAAAGGTTTCTTTAGCTGTTGTGGCTGGCCTTGCTCAGATACTCCCGTGTGATGGATGAGGAGATAGATGATGCAGTGTCTGCAGTGATGGAGTTCCTAGGAGTGATTAATGATGTATACACTGGATTGTTTTTGATGCCTTTCCTGGTATTAAATGAAATGTTTTCTTTTCCTCCAACCACATTTTTTATCCTAAAGATGGACTCTTTCAGAGAGTGCTGTTTGACTGCATTCTCTGTATTCAGCAAATTTAAATCCTGGCCCAGATGACCTTGATATCACATCCCTGAGACTTAGTTTATCTATTTGTAAAAATGGGGATGACGATTCCTACCTCTCAGGGTGAATGCTATTGGGAGCCCTTACTGACGTGACCATGAAGTCATGTCTGTACTTACACGTGGAAGGCATCTTATATGTGTGGATACACTCATGAGATAAAAACCAGTGATGGGATTGCCTCCCTGCCTTTATCTCCTAGAAAGAGAGACATTGCTGGCATATGATGGTAAATAAGTGTGAAGTGATGTTATTACTGCTTATGGGAAGTGATTAATGGGCAGTCTTGACCAAGGCTGGATAAACAGGCAGATGCAAGGAAGCAAGAATTGATTCTGGCTGCATTCAAGTGTTGCCTTTGGGATCCTGAGGTATGGTAATGACCCACCAGGATTATGGTTTATCTAGAAATGATGAAAAACAGAAATGTGTATCCCCGTATCGTACTGTGTGTAAAGCAGGACCCAGCACCACCACCTTTCTTTGTAGTTACATGATTACCTTTTTGTCTTTACAGGCTGTGACCCAATTAGAACTTTTTGGGGACATGTCCACACCCCCTGATATAACCTCTCCCCCCGTAAGTATGCATTGCTCTCTGAACCCTGCACCCCTTTCCTTTCCACATCCCCTCAGTGGCCGGAATATGGGCTTTGAGTGAAAGAGGCCTCTGGTGGATTTCAGCGTTGACTCTTTCAAGCTGTGTGACTTGGACAAACTCACTAGTCATTCTGATCCTTAATTTCCTTGGCTATTTAAAAAGGGGAACTATGATATATGCCTCTGTTTTGCGAAATAAACAAGACCATGCATTCAGCAATGGCAGGACTTGCCTGGGCACTTGCTGTTCTGCTGGGGTCTGAGAAGAGAGGCCCGAAGGAGATGTGGTTTCTGACTACAAGGAGCACATGGTGTGGTTGGGAATGTAGGCAGGAAACTCGGGACAACACATATGATGAGGCATTTGTCAGCACCTGCCCCAAGCCCAGTACAGCATAGGTGGCCAGCCCAGTAAAGGAAGGACCTTCTCCCCACACCCTGCTCTGCCCATCCTTCTCTCCTTTCCCTCTTTCTTTCCTCTCTCCCTTCTTTTTGTTTTTTCCCTCCCTTCCAGCCTGCCCTTCAGCTTTGCAGACCATGACCTGGGCACTTGAGCCTCACTGAGCTTCTCAGGAAGCTCTAGACTCCCAGCCACAGCTTCAGCCAGGGTACCTCAGTGAATGCTTACAAAAGGACAGCGATTGCAGGGAGCCCTAATTTGAAAATGAAAAGAAGAAAACAGAATTAAAACCAAAGCAAAATAGAATCCCAGTGCTGGATGCATTCAAAAGCAACTCTGCAGCCACTGCAAAGAAAAGAGCCAAGATGGCCCCTCCAGCCCCTCCCCTGCCCATTCCCTGAGGAGGGCAGAGAGCAGTCAGCCGCAGCTGCACCAGCTGAAGCTGCCAGGAGGGGACAGCTCCTCTGGGCACTGCGCAGTTGTGCAAACCGAGGGATGGTGCTATGGTTCATTGGCAAGATGCGCCTCACAGAGAAAAGGCTGTAACCTCACCACCGAGGACAGATGGCACAAGACACTGCTGCCCACTGCTGCCGCCTGGGAATCTAGGCACAGCTGCCCTGCTGCCAACACCTGATGTCCAAGGCAGCCTTGAGGGCGGGGACCGCAGCCTCTGTCCCCAAAGAAGCTGGATGGCTCTAGCAATTCTCATTCTCCCATTTATCCTGGGCTAAAAGCTTCTTTCTGGGAACTTGGAGTTGCAGAACTGCAGGGCTATGCAGCTAGAAAGGGCTGAAGAGATCTTCTAACCTTATCCCCGTCATTTTACAGATGAGCAAACTGAGTCCCAGAAAGGACATGTGACTCACCCAAGGTCACAAAGGGGGAACAAAAGAACGGCGCTGACTGTTTTTAAAAGTGCTTAACACAGCAGCTCATGGCTGTGTTTCTGGCCCTGAACCCAGGCGCAGTCCAAATGGGTATTTAATAATCCTCAGAACAATGCCATTCGTCCCACAAGCTGCTAGTCTAAAAATGGCCTTGTCTAATTGCCATGATTTCAGGATTAATTGCTTGCCCCAGCCTATTCCAAGGGGAAAAAAAAAAGGATATTACAGCATCAAACAGATTTATACTCTGTAGGCAAAAGCCTGCTATAAATGGGTGTGGACATATACAAAATTATGAGTACTGATGTTTTCATTTCTGTATCCCCCATCTTGCCCACCAGTCCATGCAGCAGACCTTTTTTGAATTCCAGCACGGACTAGGCCCTGTAGAATTTTCAGTGGTGCAAGCATTGTTTCTTGTTGTCTTCTTGAAAATATTTACTTCTTTTTGCAAATGAAGATTGAGAGAAAATCTGGAGTTGGGGGGGTGCACCAGGATACAAGGGTCGGTGCTCCACTTGCTAAATTCTATTTGTTGATTTAGTCAACAACTGCTCATTGGCCGTATATTAAGTTGCAACCCCTGAGCTGGGCACACAGTAGGTCTTGAGTGGGTGTATTTCAATTTGAACTGGCCATCTCTAAAGGGTGAATGCCAAATATTATGGAAAATTTGATACCTGAAAACACCCCCCAGAGAGTAGGGGCTCAAACTAAATCATTAGGATACTGGCCGTTATTTGCCAAGCACCTACTATATGCCTATGCGTGGCGCTAAAAATTTAAGTGATGTAAAATAATTTAAACACATAATCTCACTTAATCCTCACAGTAGCTCTGGAGGTATCATTTCCCATTTTGTAGATAAAGTGTATGTAACCAGCACATGGGCTGCACACCACATAAGTGGCTTGAACTGTGGATCCCTTCCCCTGCCCCTTAATTCCTGCATCTGCTACCTCCCAGCCTTGGTGACTGCAAAGCCAGGTCTCATGTGTCCTCTGCCTCTCTCTGTCTGGCAGACTCCTGCAACTCCAGGTGATGCCTTTATCCCATCTTCATCTCAGACCCTTCCAGCGAGTGCAGATGTGTTTGGTTCTGTACCTTTCAGCACTGCTGCTGTACCCTCAGGTAAGCCCTCTTCCACCAGCTTCCTTTCCTTTGGCCTTCACCCATCGAGAGAGAAAGAGTTTACAGAGCCACCCGCCAAATGATGACAAAACACTGCTATTCTCTCCTGTGACTCTTCAGGTGACACTGAGAAGCTGTTTAGAGAGGGAGGTGATGTTGGGGTCCAGAGCTCTGGGATGTTACTGGCCTGGAATTCACTGATGTCTTTCACCCAGAGAGTTCAAGATTCTGTGTTACTCAGGTGTGCAGCTTTTCGGAGCATGGCATACGCACAGCTGTGCAATTAGCCCAGGTCCATTTCCACTCTTCCACCTCAGCCAGGAGAGACAGCAATAAGCAGGGGAGGACATGAAGTCAGCTTTCTAGAGACTTCTTGAGACCTGATGGATAGAAGGGATCTGCCTTACTTGGTGCTGACTCAAGGAAGGGGAAGGTCCCCAGACAAAGTGGGGAGCACCCTATGGGATGAGAGCAAACTGCTGTGAGTTGTGAGAATAATGAGACACCTGGTGAGTTAGAAAGTATGTGTTCTGTTTTTCAAATAGTCTTTAAATGTATTTACTACTTTTACAAGTTAAAAAATATATATAGATATAGTAGCAGTATTGCAGGTGAGTTACAAATGGATGGAGCCCAGCAATCTTACCTTATTTCCATGGCATGAGGCATTCCATGTGGCCAGGCCACTGTATTTGCAAATAGCCAAAGGTAGTTTAATTCTGTTTTTCACATACATGGGAGCCTTAAAGGGTTTTGTGGTTTTCTTTAACTACGTATTTGAAATCTGTGGCTTTATCTTTCTTGCCTTTATTCTTATAAATGGCAAATAGAGTTGTTTGAATATTTTAGAATACCAATCTTCTTGCATTTTTTTCCATAATTACTTTTAATTACATACTGTTAGAAGCAAATTCTTGCCACCAAATATAAACTGCTTTTATTCAAAGTAAATTAAAAATGCATACTCTGTTCTAAAATAGTTATGGTTATTACTCATGAGCTAAGGGATCATTATGAACTTTTAGAAGCAATAGAGGTTGGTGACCCTTGGATCTAACTTACAGTTTAGACTGCAGGTTGCCTAGAAATGTATTCAATTGTGAAGTTTCCCAGTCTAATCTTGAAAAAGGGATAGTAATGAAGACTAGTTTTCCTTACCTAAAATAGATATTAAAATATCCATGGGACTAGTATAATAGCACATGCCATTTTAAATAAGGGTAAGAGTTTTCCACCACCCTTCTATGCTTGAGTTTTGTGTTCAGAGTGCCCATGCTTTGTCCTCATTGTTTTGTCTGTAAAGACTGTGCTGGGAAAAATGATGGCCCCAAACTTACCAATTTGCAGGCATGTTCATTTCAAAAATGCTCACCAGGTGCCCTCTATGTGCCAGGTCCCATGTAGGTGCTTGGGATGTGCGAGTCAACACAACAAACAGAGAGTCTACCTTTTACTGGGAAGATAGGAAATAACAAAAAAATAAATACTTTTCAATAATATATTTAAAAATGAGAAGTGATAGGGACAAAAGAAAATGCAGACCAGAGCATAGGGGCTTTTGAGTGCAGGCAGAGGGCAGGTAAAAGTGCCTAGGTGAAGTGTGACAGGACTAGCAGGGGCAGAAAAGTCTCAAGTAGACATCAGAGTTCAGGGTACTCCAGGCAGAGGAATGACTTGGTCCCCCAAGTCTCCATTCCCTTCGCTATAAATGAGAAGATGGGCCTAGATGTAATTTTATATCTCTTCCAGCCCTAACATTTGATTAAAAACACCCTGTGGACCTGCCTGGGTGTATTAGTCCATTCTCACGCTGCTGATAAAGACATACCTGACACTGGGTAGTTTACAAAGGAAAGAGTTTTAATGGACTCACCATTCCACATGGCTGGGGAGGCCTCACAATCATGGTGGAAGACAAGGGAGGAGCAAAGGAATGTCTTACATGGTGGGAGACAAGAGGGATTGTGTTCAGGGGAACTCCCCTTTATAAAACCATCAGATCTCATGAGACTTATTCACTACCATGAGAACAGTGTGGGGAAAACCACCCCCATGATTCATTTATCTCCACCTAGGGGAGACGCATGGGGATTATTACAATTCAAGGTGAGATTTGGGTGGGGACACAGCCAAACCATATCACCGGGTCAGTCACAGCACTGCTCTGGGCCCTCTCCCAAACCTGTACCAGATTACGGACTTGGAAGACCTGGGTTTTAGTCTTGCTGCTTAACCAGCCACATTGGAAGCTGTGGACAAGCCACTTCCACATATCCAGATTTCCTTTCTTTAGCTGTTAAAATTTTGATAGACTACCTCCAAGATTTCAACTTTTAGAACACGAGTCTAAAATTAATTTCAATTTGCATGTTTTTGCTTTCTGACTCTAGTTAATATAACAAAACTGGCTTCAGTTGGTATTAAACTATGTGCCCGATTTTTCCTTTAACTGGACATAAAAATTTCTGCAGCTGTTGAATCCCAATCTCCTTGTCACTAGTTGTCCAGCCAGTGATAAGGAGATAGAGAAGTGAACTGGAGTATGTGATACAATGGATAGACTGGCTCCTGGGGGCTTTTGAATCTGATGGGCCAGGTTTGAATCCTGATTCAGCCATTTATTTCTAAGCTTTAGACTCCTGGGCAAATTACTTCACCTACCAGAGTCAGAGTTTCTTCATCTTTATAACTGAGTGTAAAATAATACTTACTTTGCAACAATATCATGAGAATTAAATGAATCACTACATTAACTGCAGCTGCAGAAGCTGTATCACTACACACTGAAAACTGCTGGCACATCATCGATATTTAGTGTAGAATATACTGTATCATTATGATTATTCTGATTTCTACAGTGGATGAATATATGTCCTGTTCCACCTATATTTTTTCCTTTTCCTGGAAATTAGTGCCTGTAATAAAGTTTAGGTCTTCAACCTCTTGACTGCTCATAGCAGACAGCAGGAGAATGGGTGGCCTGGAGAATGTACTATGTATGAATACAGGCTCTGCTGCTAGCCAACTGCATCATACTCAGATAAATATCTTCTGAACCTCAGGAAACTTATCCCATTTTAATGTGGATGATCATAATTCTACCTCATAGAGTTTTTCTAAGGATTGCATGAGTAAATGCAGGTTGTAAAATATGTACAGCAGTTCCTGGCAGTGCTTCCATCAGTAAGCACTCAACAGATGTTTGCTACATGGTTCTTCGGGAGCCTTGGATCTGCTATTCATACAGTGTGTAGCTGCATCAAATCTTCCCCTCATGGAGTTGCAATTTCTCCTCTACAAATTAAAGAGATAGCAATCACACTCACCCCAGAGGCTTGTGGAAAGGATCAACTTCACAAAAATGTCAGCTCCACAGGGTGAGAATGTTTTTGGTTTTTTTTGATGACTGTTTTGTTCTTTGTTTTGTCTCCACATACTAAAGCAGTGATTGGCACCTAGTAGAGGTAGTTTTGAATGAATGAATCCATCAAGTGAGATACTGTGGATAAGAGATATCATACAAGTTCTGCATAAATGTTGGAGGAGTTCCTTCATTTTTAGTGCTTTTCTTATATTTCAGTCTGCCTTTTTTTTTCTTTTTTCAAATAATGGGGGTATCCCCAGGTGTCAGCATCTGGCTATAAATCACAATTTTCAACACTTTTTAAAAACCTAACTGTAAGGCAGCAAGGCAGGTGTTCCCTTTCACTCCACAGCAAGATTTATGATTGCTCTGAACTTCATGGCATAAACAGATGCTCCTTGGCACCTCCTCCCTCCACTACTGGACATTAATAGTAAACAGTTAACAAGCTGTTAAGTGGCTGCAGTGGCAACCCCCACGTGGCTCCCTGTGTCCAGTGCCACCACTGTCCTGCTGCTGGTGTGTCCTTTCGCTCATGCACAAGATCAGGTGGCCAGACAGCCTTAACTCACCGGCCAAGGAGAGCCGGGCTGCAGGGACCCCCTAGGAAAAGTGAGTGGGACCTGCAAGCTCCTAAGCATGATACCCAATTACCCTGTGCTACCTTTTTTTCTTTTGAATATTGTACTTTGGTCTGGAGCAGATGGCATGAAGCCAGAAAGACATGCTAATAGCTCTCTCCAGAAAAGTGTGCACAGCCCATCTGTTAGCTCCTTGTGGAAAAAAAAAAACAAAAGATGGGAGGGGAAAAAAACCTGCCACCAACAGTAGAATCATCAGAGATCACAGCATTTATGCATTGTGGGTTTAATTAGACACCGGGAAAAATGCAGTGAGCGTATTGACTAGGACTTGTTCATCTTTATGTAGGGCCTTTCTCCCGTCCCAAACCATGCTAGGCAGAGTGGAGAGAGAGAGAGAATAAAGAGTTCCTGCCAACAGGTGGTTTCTAGTCTCATCAGGGAAGATAGAATAACCAGGCAATTACAATGCAGTGTGACAAATGTCATGATACAGGTGAGCACAGAGGACTGTGCAAGCCCAGAGAAGGACCAGTGGAGCTGACAGGAACAAGAAGCCATCCAGCAGAGGTGATAGTGAGCCGAGTCTCCAAGAGCAAATCAGGGTTAGACATGCACAGAAGCAGCGGGATGGCTTTCCAGGCAGATGGGCCAGCAGAGACAAGAGACAGCACGTTGGGTTTTGTTTGCAACTGCTGAAGGGCAAGGTGCAGTGAGGATATGAATTGAAGATAGTGATGAAGAGGTGGAAGGGGCTGACCTCCAAGGACGCATAGCCAAGCTAAGACATGTGAGCCTTATACTAAAGACAGTGAAGTACCATATATGCATTTTAAAACAGTCGTTCCTGGCAACGAGGAGGGTGGAATAAAAGCAAAGCCAAAAATAGGCTTGATGTCAAGAGAGTGAAAACATCCCCTCATTCACCAAAATGGGCAGCAGGTCTTGGGTGATTGAATCCGTGGGTACTTCTCCACCTGCAGACCCAGCACCCCCTTCTTACTACAAATATTTACAATACCTCCTTTCATACCTTGAAATGAATTTCATAGATAAGGTAGTCTAGCTACACAATTTTTCAAAATGAATATAATTCTCTAATATAAGGCAGAAAGGAAAGAGAATTTGTAAGAAAAATGTATGTATTTAAATAAGGAAATACTCAGGCATGAGCACACTAGAAGGCATAACAGTCAGATGTATACACCTATAAGTAGAATCACTATCGAAAGCCACAGCTATAAGTCCAGACTGATACAGAAGTGTCATGTGGCTATACCACCATGAGAAGCGTTTCTGTCAGGGATGTCAGGGACTGCCATTTTCCAAAATAGTCAACACCTTTTGACAGTGTTCCAAACCAAAAATACAGTCTTCCCTCCCGTGCACAGTTGTTGAATTCCTGGAAAATTAAATGCATTAAAATCAAGTGCAAAGATAACTTTGAATTCCCGTGTAATTCAAAGTCGATTCTGGGTGCAAATGATCATAAACAGGATGTGGAATAATGCTTTGTCATACGCATTGGTCTCACACATAGTGAGATGTCTACTGTCAATGCTTGGGTCTCCTAAATGCCAGTAGTGTAACCCCCTCCACTTGTGACAACCAAAACACGTCCCACCAATTTTCTAGCCACCCCTAGGGGGCAGTAGTACTCCCACTGAGAACCACTGGGACATATCAAAGTAAATCGGAAAACAAGACAGAGTTGCAGGATTCTTCATCTGTTGGTAGATTTAAGTCACTACATTATCATGCCATGGGTGAGGCAAGCTAAGCAAGCTTCACGTTTGAAGTTTCAGCTCCAGGGCCTCTTCATCCCTCTTGCTTCAGTGCAGTTGGACAAAGTAGTCTTATAAGATATTCTCCATTTTTTTTGTTGACATCCTTGTCTCATTCCGCAGAAGTATTTAACACTGCGAGATTAATCAGCAAGAAGCACAGGTGTCCTATTGGTGCCTTTCTGGAGCCTGCTGTTAGGGAAGCATGGCATGAGAGGAAACGGGCACCTTGCAAGGAAAATCACCAGGCCTTGAATGTTGGCTCTAGCCTGTATCAGTCAGTTGAAGGCAGGTATATCTGTGACTGGAGTATGGAGTGAGACACCCTGCGTTCCATCTCTCTGGGCTCACAAGAGTCAGTGAGATGACTCATAATGTCATCAATGCCATAACGCCCACCCATTGTCCCTTTGGAAGTTGCTAGGATACTCTGCCTCCATTCCTCTTTTTTTCCTGGTCTCATTACACTGCATCGGTATCTTCCTACTGACAGCCATGGAAAGGCTTGTTTTGAGAGGCCCAGGCAAAGCTGGCTTCTCTATTCTCTGCTCTGCCCAGCCTGGGAACTTGTCTCTCAGGCTCAACTGCACATAGAGGTGGCCATTGTGCCCCCTGAGAAGGGTGGGGACCCCTGGAAGCACATGTGAATTTCCTGCAGGCCTGCAGTATCCAAATACAATCAAATAGTAGGCAAGGTCTATTAACTGCAAAGATCGGAAATTGGTCTTGGCCATCTGGGTGAGGCAGTGTGTGGCACAAAGGAAGGAACCCTGGCTTTGGGGGAACAGACAACCTCAGTTTGATCCTGCTCCTACCTCATGCAACCTGTATGACCCTGAGCAAGTTGCTTTTCCTTGAGCACCAATTTCTTCATCCCTAAAATAGAGATAATAATACCTACCCTGCCGGAATTTCGTGAAGACGCAAAACACATACTAGTGTATCTGGCATGTTGTAGGCATTTAATAAGTGGAGCTTGTTGCTGTTACTGCTATGTTACTATTATTATTGTAACACGTGTCACTTGTGCTCCTGTTAAAATGTATATGTCTTACCTAAAAAGAATAATACAGTGAACAATTATCATGGTAATACACATGAGTACAGGCTATGGGGTTTTGCAGTGTGTAACTTATACTGATGTATGAGGTGCCCCTGAGTGGACAATAACCTTCTTTTTTTTTTTTTTTTTTTTTTTTTGAGACAAGTGTCTCACTCTGTTACCCAAGCTGGAGTGCAGTGGTATAATCACAGCTCAGTGCTGCTTCAAACTTTTGGGCTCAAGTGATCCTCCCGCCTCAGCCTCCTGAGTGCTGAGACAATGGGACTCTGAGCATGTGCCACCATTCCTCACTACTTTTTAAAAATTTTTGGTAGAGATGAGGCCTTGCTGTGTTACTAAGTCTGATCTCAAACTCTGAGCCTCAAGCAATCCTCCCACCTGGACCTCCCAAAGTGTTAGGATTACAAGCATAAGCCACCACATCTGGCCCTATTTTTTTAATTCTCTAAAATTGGAATAATAATAATACAGAAATCATGCATAATACCTCTAGCTGCCATTTATTACATGTCTTTTGTATATCAAGCAATGTAATAAGTAACTCTCTAGCCTCTATCTAATCCAAACCATACTAGTAACTAACATTTACTGAATGTTGATCCTGTGTCCGGTACAATACTCCACATTTTAAATATGTACTCTCAATTAATCTTCAAATCAACCTAGCAAGGTAGAAGGTGTTTATACCCATTTTACAAATAAGGTCATAGAGCCTTAGAGAGATTTAAGAACTACTCCCCAAATTACACAGTTAAGAGGTGGCTGTTTGAATTTTAACCTAGGTCTCTAAAACTCCAACATTCAGATTATTACTCACTTTGCACACTGCCTCAGGCCTGCGAAGGACGGTATTATAACCTGGTTTTACAACAAAGAGTCAGACTCTTAAAGAGCTTACGCAATTGAGAGGGTCCTAAGTGCAGCAGGAAGAGGAGGCAAGGAGAAAACCCAGGACGGCCTGCCTTCCGTCCTTCTGCCCTGTCCCTGAGACACACAGCTTCTGAGGCTATGAGACTTTAGAAACTTCTAACAACTACAGAAATGTGATTATTAGCATTCTAGTTTTTGCTTACAGATCATCTCCTCAGAGAGGCTTTCCCTGACCACTTCTCTAGGATATAGGCTCCAAGACAGCAAGGACTTTTGTCTTGTTCATCTTGGCATCCCCAGTCCCTGGCACACAGTCTGGCACTTAGTTGGTGCTTGATACATTTCTGTCAATTACCTGAGTCCATGCATCCTTCTTTCTCAGGACACCTGACTCTTCTTTTTCATTCTCCCAGGTTACGTTGCAATGGGCGCTGTCCTCCCGTCCTTCTGGGGCCAGCAGCCCCTCGTCCAACAGCAGATGGTCATGGGTGCCCAGCCACCAGTCGCTCAGGTGATGCCGGGGGCTCAGCCCATCGCATGGGGCCAGCCGGGTCTCTTCCCTGCCACTCAGCAGCCCTGGCCAACTGTGGCCGGGCAGTTTCCGCCAGCCGCCTTCATGCCCACACAAACTGTTATGCCTTTGCCAGCTGCCATGTTCCAAGGTCCCCTCACCCCCCTTGCCACCGTCCCAGGCACGAGTGACTCCACCAGGTCAAGTCCACAGACCGACAAGCCCAGGCAGAAAATGGGGAAAGAAACATTTAAGGATTTCCAGATGGCCCAGCCTCCACCCGTGCCCTCCCGCAAACCCGACCAGCCCTCCCTCACCTGTACCTCAGAGGCCTTCTCCAGTTACTTCAACAAAGTCGGGGTGGCACAGGATACAGACGACTGTGATGACTTTGACATCTCCCAGTTGAATTTGACCCCTGTGACTTCTACCACACCATCGACCAACTCACGTGAGTGCCCCTCACTTAAGACATAAAACCCAATGAGAGCCATAACTTATGTCTGGAGGTAGGGTTTCAGGGGTCAGATAACTCATCTCGCTTGCATTAATCAGGCTTCTTTGTTTATATTACTATTACTACTATTGCTACTATTACTACTACTATTACTACTAAGAGCTACAAATATAGGTACCACTGATAACATACAAACCTTCTTCATATGTTCCATGTTTATTTTTAGACTTATAATAATGCTTAATGACAAATTTTGTTAGACCTGTTTGATGGATAATGAAAGTGAGGCTCAAGGTTGAAGACAATAGACAAAGTGGTATTGAACTGAATGTAAGCCTAGTATTTTTCCACCGTATTACTCTGCCTCTTAAGATTTTGTTAGTTTACTCATGCATTCGTTCATTTATTTATGTATAGCCAGCTTATGACACATAGATTTTGGTGTGGTTTCTTGAAATAAAAGTGAATGCAAACTTTAAAAATTTGGGGAACAAGTTTTAAACATTAGAATATAAAATAAGGATCAAGAGAAAACTTAGGGCAGAGACACAGCAGCCGTAAGGTCTTAAATAGCTTTTATAGCTGAAGCCTCATTTTGGCTTAAAGCTTCTGGTAGTTAAAGAGAACAAAAAGATGGTGCTGCAGAAAGTACTGGACTGGAAACCTGGAGATCAGATTTATTACTGACCAGTTTTGTACCTTTGGGCAAGGCACTTTATTTCTATGAGCCTCGGTTTCCTCATCTGTATGAGGGATGGGTTATTAAAAGGATTCAATGGTATATATACTCAAACATTATAGACCTCCCAGAATTTGAAGTATCTTTTATCCTCAGTATTAACACATGTTAAGTGGTTTTGTGCAGTGCTGGACCCCAGTTCTAGTGTTGACTCCTCTACCACAAGCTGTGTCTTTGGGCAAGCGTGTGACTTCTCTGAGACTCAGTTTTATCATTGGTAAAATAAGTGAATTGACTTGGATGAGCAGTGTGCATCCTTCTAGTTCCAGCTTTCAGTGAGTCTCCTCCAGCCCACATTTTTTCTGCAAACATCTGGAAAACAGTGACTGTGCAGCCAAATCAGAATCCAGATACACTTGAGCATGTGTACGCTTGTTTGACATAATTCAGGGAAGATGTTCTGGTGACTCAGCCTGTGCCTTGACACCTGATAAGAGGAAAGAAAAGGTTCATGCTACAGTGAGTTTGGTGGTTTCATTACTGTCACAGGTGATATGGATCACTGCATGGCCAGTACTGTGAACTGTCAAAAAAACCCCACAATGTTAATACAATTAGATTGTGTCATTTCAGCCAGGTTCAGAATGCTATTCTGAAAATGAATGCCCTCGGTGTGTATAAACAACCCACTTGCACTCAGGCCATATGATCTACATAGTGGCGGCATCTCTATTTACACAGACTCACAGGGTTTCAATGAGGAATAATGAATAAAAAACGAAATGTTAAAGAAATGACAGCCATGCATAAATAAGCAAGCATCTTTTTAAAAACAGACATCTCTCTTTCAATGGACTTATGTGCCAGCTACAAATGAAAGAGGAGAGTTTAAGTTCTTTGAGGGCAGGAACTGTCTCCATTACTCCTATACTTCTCATAATGCTAGCTTAGTGCCTGGCACATGAGAGGCATTTGGGAAAGGTTATAGAGAATGAAATAAACTAAATGGAGATCAGTTAGCTACTGTTGTGTTTTAGAGCATTGTTGGCAACCTTGGCACTATTGATATGTTGAACCAGATAATTCTTTGTTTCAGAGGCTGTCCCATTATAGGATGTTTAGCAGCCCTGGCTTCTAATCACTCTATGAGAGAAACATATATCCCCTTCCTCTAGTGTCGAGAAAAATGACTCCAAGCATTGCCAAATGTACCCTAGGGATGAAATTGCCCCAGACTGAGAACCACTGCTTTAGAGTATTAGAAGCATCCTATGAAGCCTTCTAAAAATTAAGACACCTACGTAAATAAACTCCTGTTTATGCTTTCCATTTATTTCATTAGGTAAGTCTGAGCAGTAATCCTGCCAGAACTGGCAACTCAGCGTGTGTTCTCAACCTTTCGTAAGCAAAAATCCACTTCAAATACAATTCAGGATCTAATTAAACTAATATTTATTAAACATCTACTACCCTTCAGGGTGTTTGCATATAGCTTTAAACCCACTTTCAATATAGTTTGTTCCATAGTCATCTCCTGAAACAACACAGATTTCATTGCAAATTTTTTTTTCAAAAACTTACTGTTTTATTTTGAATGAAATTGGAAAAACCAGTCATTATCTCCTCTGACCCATCAGTATCCCCTTAAGAATGTTTTGGGTAGAGGATTGGTTGGATCAAAAGGGAACCTCCAATAAAAACAGAAAAGCACAGTTGGACTGGATACTGTCAGACAGAGCTCTGTTAAATGCCAGTGCTGCTATTTGATAGCTGTGTTAACCCTCAGCAAGTCAAGTCACCTCACCTCTCTGAGCTGCAATTTCTCCATCTGGGAAACAAAAAAGTTACAGTAACAGCTTGCAGGTATTTGTATTAGGGTGTATAATGGATGGGAAGTGCCTAGCACAGTGTCCAACTCATTGGCACATTATAAATAATAAATGAGGAAATAGCATCATTTTTCTAACTATACAGTCATCAGAGTAAAAAGTATGCACTAAGTTTTACAATCATCATTCACTGTCTGATTCTAAGTTCTATGACATTATGAAAATTCAGCTACTAAATCAAGGCGTGCCACCCACTCACTTGGGTCTTAGCCAGTGACTGGTATTTTCAGTGACAAATTAGAAATTATTAAAAGAAGAGTGGTATCAAATGACGTATTTGTTCTACACCTCTGAAACAAATGAGAGGAGATGTGGGTGGGTCAGTCCAGAAAATGCATATCCTTTGTCCTTAGAGAATCAAGTACCAGCTGTTAAGTTGCCATCAGCTACATCCATTTTCCCAGATCACTGAGACACTTACTGTTTATTCAACGTGTGTTTATTGAATACCTACTATGTGCCAGGATTCAGAATCTGGTTCTACCAGTTGCCACGAGCAAATTAGCAACCTTCACTTTCCTTATGTGTCAAATTAGGATAACCTCTACCTCAAAGAGGTTTTATGAGGATTAGAGATATTGTCTGTAAAATTTCTAACAGTGTTTGACACATGAAAGGCCCTCAGTAAGTGCCCTCTGATGAAACACAGAAAGAAGAAAGCAAACCATAGCCCAGTAGATCTCAGCTTGATCGTGCATCAGAATAACCTTTAGCAGGTTGTTCAAACACAGAGTCTCTGATTCAGTAGATTTGGGGTAGGGTCAGAGAATTTCATTTCTAACAAATCCCCAGATGCTACTGCTGCTGCTCGTCCAAGGACCATCCTTTGAGAACCACTGCCTTACCTATCAGGGTGGACGAGCTCCTTCCTGAAGTCAGACGTGTGAGAGGAAAGATCAATACGTACAGAGAAATAATTCAAATATTCAGCTGATTCCACCGGAAATAGGAAGAGGGATCCTAAGAGTTGACTTGAATATAAGCAGATTCCTAAGGTTTCTTTGGGATAAATGGATTGCAGCCAGGCACCTAAGATGTCTGTTTTTCTGTGGTGTCTGTGTAGCTCCAACCCCAGCTCCTAGACAGAGCTCTCCATCCAAATCATCTGCATCCCATGCCAGTGATCCTACCACAGATGACATCTTTGAAGAGGGCTTTGAAAGTCCCAGCAAAAGCGAAGAGCAAGAAGCTGTAAGTGACCAGTTTGTTATTTGTGTTTTTCCTTAAAATTAAGACCTCTGTAACTGAAATGGATAATGCATGAGGAAGCCTACATAGAAAAGAATGCTGGCTCAATCTCCTAAGTTCTCAAGGGGTTGCTAAAGGGGCTTTCTTTTGTGTTCAAATGAGTCAGCTGAAAAAGACTGCCTTTTTATTAAATTGTTACTACAAGTCCACATTTGTGGTGTAGCATCCTCTAAATGCCATTGCACCCTCCTTTACAATAACTGATTGTGCTGCATGAAAGTATATCCAGTTGTCTTATATTTTCAATGGTTGAAAAAAGAAAAAAAAAAAGTATTATCTTCTTGTGTTCTAGCCTGATGGATCACAGGCCTCATCCAACAGTGATCCATTTGGTGAGCCCAGTGGGGAGCCCAGTGGTGATAATATAAGTCCACAGGCCGGTAGCTAGATAGCGCAGGTCTGGGTAGGTATCTGTCCTTTTTATCTCCTTTACCCTTAAGCTATCTGCTTTCCCTTTTGGTTGTTCTTCACTTCTGAAGCCACATCCTCAATGTTTGCACCATGTCTCCTTGCCTGAGCTGTATTGCTGATGTTTGCACCATCGCTTCTTCCCTGAACTGTATTCCTGATGTTTGCACTATTTCTCCTTGCCTGAGCTATATTACCAGTGTCTGCACCATGTCCCTTTGCCTGGTGTCTACGTTCTACTTTGCCTTTTCTCATGGATGCATGACCTTTGACATACTCTGGGAGGTAGGGGTAGGGGTGAGAAGTGGGAACTGATCATATTATTTTATTAATAATATGTTCTGCGTAGGTGGTGGTGATAGAGTGAGGCATGGTCCATGCTACTTAGCATGGATTTAGTTTCTGAAAGCATCAACATTTTGAGATGGACACATTCTGCCCACCCTGATAATTTCTCAGTGAGCCATGGTCCAGATGCTTTAATCTTTTAAGCAAAATGTCACTGCATTTGCCTACACTCTGCAGATCTAAAGAGGTCACCAAACACACAGAGAAGCCAGACTAAGAAGCAAAAACAAGCAGTGCTTGAAATAAGATTGATCAAGATGTAAGATCAGAGGCAGCCCTTTTTGTCTAGCCAGAAAGGACCCTGTACCCTGCACCCTTTCTGATGTGAAATTCAAAGCCCAGAGATGTGTACTACTCACTTCTGAGGCTGAGCTGTTTGCACCTGTGCTGCAGCACGTGGATTGCCACCAAATCACTTCAGATTCCATCAGCAGCTACTTTGAAAGAGATGTACTTACATTTACTAGAAGTGGTTTTTGGCACTTGAATTTCAATACATCTGATTTGATCGAAAGAAAGAGGAGCTGATGAAGCAAACCTTCTTAGGAGACAGAAGTATACCTTGTTACCCAGACATGATTTCTAAGGTCACTTCTTGACAAATGTGTTCAATTTTCAGATACTTTCTTAGTTTTCTATAAACACACAGGACTGCAAGGCCATTCCCAAAGGGCTCCTTTTTTAAGTTCTGAACAGCATGGTCAAAACCATTAAAATGGTAAACAGTTTTCACCACTCATAAATGGATTCTGAGGCTACTTCAGAATTAGTCTTAGTCCACACGTAAGTTAGACAGTTACTGAAAGCTAATATGGTATTCTGAAAGTGTATTTTGTTAATAGATATTATGATTAAAGAACCTAACACACTGTATAGTTTGCCACATTTTATTATCAGTGCAATAGCATATAATTATATGTCATGCATGCAAAACCACCTAAGATTCACTTAGAAGTTCACTCTTGCAAAGCTACTTTGGGAGTTGGTATATTGAAATCAAAGTCAATGTTTCAGGAAAAAGTTGGGGACTATAGGCAGACTTCTTGGGATGATTCCCTACGAGGTTTTTTACCCCCTGCCTAAGTTGTATTTCACATGCTCAACCTTGCCTTGAAAAATTTGGTGAATGAACTAGAGGTGACAAGAGCCATTCATCAGGATAACAGCAAACATCATCCTAAAATTGAAGTTCTTCTAGAAAACAAAGATGACTTACACCATTTGCAGATCAATGTATCAAACCCTCATCTTTATGAACCTGTTCAGCTTGAGACAATCCTACAGGCCAAACTGTTTCATGGGGCTTTGGTCTGTTCCACATTTAATGCTCTGTCCAGCACCTCAAGCCACAGCTGAGCTGTAAGTGGACATAGCAGTAGTGTGGGAAGAACTCAGGATTTGGACTTGAGTTTAAATCCTAACTCAGCTACTTAATAGTGGGAAATCTTGGGCAAGAACCAAAATTTATTTTGAGTCTTGGTTTCTTCATCTGCTAGAAGGGGCTTATATTCTCCATAATGGTAACTGAGATGGTTTATGTTGAGTATCTAGCATGGAGACAGACACCGAGTACTTAGCTTAAAATAAAAATCTAGGTTCTAGAACAACATTGTTTGAGTTCAGCGTCTGGCTCCACCACTTCCTGGCTATGTGACACTGCTGAGATTTGATAATCATTCTCTATTTTATTTTCTTCATTTGAAAAATAAGGATAAAAATAGTGTCCACCTCATAGGGTTATTGTGTGAACTAAATAAAGTGATGTATGTGAAGCTTTTAGCACTGTGTATAGCACACAGAAAGCACCTGATAGATGCTAGCTGCCATCATCATCACCATCACCATCATCATTATCATCATCACATATATCCAATTAATGCAGGCGCCCCACTCTCTTGGATTTTATACATTTAGCCTTTATGTATAAGGCCATTGGTTGAGAGGTTTTGCTTTGTACTTTATCTTCAGATAATTAATTTTCAATATGTGTCACAACAGCTTTGGAAGGGAAAAAAAAAAGCCTGCTGCTTAGCTCTCTGGCTTGTCCCATCCCATAATCCAGAATGGCCCTGGTTTGGGCCTCACACAGCTCACTGCCAAAAAATGAGCTGTCTTAGAATCACATGCAAGTCAAAATAAGTACCTCCCAGCTCCAGAGGAGGACTGGACTGTAATCTTCAGTGAAGTAATTTTCTCCCTTTGAAAGCTTAGCCTGGCCACTTCACAGTTATTGAGATTCAAGTGCCAACGGGCAGATGCCAGCTTTGCAGACATAGCCACTATGACACACATGAGGGACGTCTGGGAGAAGCATTCTGGGTCCCTCCATCGACAGCAGCACAAGCCACATTTGATCTTTCCATCTCCATCCCATTCTCCCATCCACCCAGCTGAAAATTTACAGATTGCAATTTCTTAGTGCCTTTCCAAACATTTGGAGAAGAGAGACCATGCAGGGTTAGTTATGTCCATGGCTTTATTTTTTTCCCCTCTGCTTTCATATGGTTGGAAAGCAAGAGTCCTGTCCCTCTTATCACCCTTGCAACCATTATCACCAGCTGTTTTTTATTAGAAATACCCGCACAGTTCTGAGTAAGTAGGGATGACATCTGTTGATAAGCTAACGCCATATCACACCATAGTAAGAGGAAACAGACGGACTCAATCCCCACAGGTGGAAGCTTCAGGGCCAATCTCAAACAGCAGTTCTGTTTTAGCAATAAAGGAAAATATCTTCAATTACTTCACTTTTTTCCCCTACCCTCCCATCTGGGAGAATCACGTGTCTTTGAAAGACTGGGTCAACAAGGGCAAAAAGAACCAAAATAATATTATAATGGCTGGTATGGGAATGGCAGGTAATTTATACTTCACTGATGTGTTGCTGGAGCAATTTTAAGGGCAAAATGTTAGCTTTTGAGGAGATGAAAGAAAAATGAAAACATTTATTTGGTTAAATGGCTAAGTAAATAAACTGCCTATCAGACTTTCCCAGCTGTCAAGTCAGAGTAGCATCTGTAACAATGGGGAATTGTTTGGTCTGCCTCCTGTAGTAACGATAGATATTGCCATAAATAATAAGTTGCTGTCATTTTTTAATACTTATCTTCGTAGTGGGAATGCAAGACATATAACATATTACCTGATGGATTTCTAGTGTTCAAGGGAAAGGAAAGCTGAACCTCAGATGCTTTGGGAAGAAGAATCTTAGAGAGAGAGAGAGAGAGAGGAAGAGAGAGAGAAAAAAAAAAGGAGGAAGGGAGGGAAGGGAAGAAAAGGAAAGAAAGGAAGAAACAAAACACAGAGTCAGGGGCCTTGGGTCTGATTTTTGCTTCCAAAGCAGGTGACCTTAGGTAAGCATATATCCTTTCATATGGATAAACACAGATAATTGCAATAGCTGTCTCCCCAAGCTGTCCAAGAATCAAATAATATCATGAAAATGAAAGTGTTTTATAAGCTTTGAAAGTAAAGTACATGTATTTGGGATTATTATTACCATTTTCTTTTTAAATACAACCAAACAACACACCCTTAAAATAAAGAACCACAGGCCGGGTGCGGTGGCTCAAGCCTGTAATCCCAGCACTTTGGGAGGCCAAGATGGGTGGATCACGAGGTCAGGAGATCGAGACCATCCTAGCTAACATGGTGAAACCCCGTCTCTACCAAAAAATACAAAAAAACTAGCCAGGCGAGGTGGCGGGTGCCTATCGTCCCAGCTACTCGGGAGGCTGAGGCAGGAGAATGGCGTAAACCCGGGAGGCGGAGCTTGCAGTGAGCTGAGATCCGGCCACTGCACTCCAGCCTGGGTGACAGAGCGAGACTCCATCTCAAAAAATAAATAAATAAATAAATAAATAAATAAATAAATAAAAATAAAGAACCACAAAACAACGGAAAATGACCTATTTTATGGACACAGGACTCAATGACAAGTCCAACCTACGTTTTTGGAGGGCACAGTGTCCCACTTCCTCGGACCTTTATGAACATAGAGACTCCCTGTTGAGGTCCTGTAGCTGGAGAGTGATGGCACTGGGTCAGGCAGAAGATGACCAGGGTCTGGCTAAGGGCAGTGTCAGCCAAGACCTCAGGCATAGTGCCAAGAGATAGTTACAAGCTGAAATCAACAGGAGGTTAAGACCGAAGGGACATAGGAGGTGAGGAAGAGGATATAAGGTAGGATGACACCCAGGTTCTTGGCATGGGGATCTACATGGTGCCAGTCACTGTGCTAAGGAACACAAAGCAGCATGTTTGAGCAGAAAGAAGGCAGGTTTACTTTGGGACCAACTGAACTCAAGGTGCCCATGAGACTTCCAAGTAGAAATGCCAGTAGGCTGCTGGATACAACCTCTGGAGATCAAAAGAGAAATCAAGGCTAGACATGGAGATTTCCATATAGGTTTCGGCCATTGGAGTAGTGAGTGCAAGTAGAATACACTGATCATCTAGCCAGAAGTTGCCAAACTCTCTGTAAATATGTGTGCCTTGTGGGCCATATGGTCTCTATTACAGCTACTCTACCATTGTAGCAGGAAAGCAGCAAAAGACGATGCATAAATGAATGGATGTAGCTATGTCCTAATAAGACTTTATTTACAAACATAGGCAGCTGCCAGAATTGGCTAACAGAATTAGATC